ATTCTGTACTGACAGCAACACAGAGGCTGAGCTGTAAGAGATCAATTTCAGTCCCCATTAACAATCGGTATGTGGTGGGACTGGCTCCTGATCGTGTGATTACTGTGACAGCCAATCACAGTGGTCACATGATCGCTGATCCTCCCCCCCCCCCCCCCCCCCCCCCCCCCCGTGAGCTTACAGACCCAATTAAAGGGACTCCAGGTCCGGGCAGGAAGGGGTTAATTGTCTCTGAACATTGGAGTCCGTTTTCTAGATGTTAATTATAAGTGAAGTTCATCGTTCTCCAGCGGTGATCCGTAACTCCCGAGTCCGGAGTCCACTAGCAGACCTGTGCAAACCAACCAGGTGTCAGCCTAACCCCTTGACCACCGGAAGGTTTACCTCCCCCCGCCCCCCCTTCAGGACATGGCCTTTTTTTTTTCTTTTGCTTTGCTATACGGCACCATGCTACTTTAACCATTTTAGCCCCAAGCCATTTCTGGCACTCTTTGTTTACATTTTAAAATCCAGTATTTTTTATTTTTTTTTGCTCAAAAACTGCGGCGTATATATACTGGATTATTTATTTTTATATTCGTAGTGGTGGCGATCAGCGACTTGTAGCGGGACTGCGATATTACAACAGATAATCTGACACTAACTGATCAGCGACTTATAGCGGGACTGTGATATTACGACAATCTGACACTACCTGATCAGCGATTTATAGCTGTACTGTGATATTATGACCGACAATCTGACACTACCTGATCAGCGACTTATAGCAGGACTGCAATATTACGACAGATAATCTGACACTAACTGATCAGCGACTTATAGCAGGACTGTGATATTATGATCGACAATCTGACACAACCTGATCAGCGACTTATAGTGGGACTGTGATATTATGATCGACAATCTGACACTAACTGATCAGCGACTTATAGCAGGACTGTGATATTTACGACAATCTGACTCTAAATGATCAGCGACTTATAGCAGGACTGCAATATTACGACAATCTGACACTACCTGATCAGCGATTTATAGCAGGACTGCAATATTACGACAATTATGACCGACAATCTGACGACAACTGACACTACCTGATCAGCGACTTATAGCGGGACTGTGATATTATGACCAACAATCTGACACTAACTGATCAGTGACTTATAGCAGGACTGCAATATTACGACAGATAACACTGTTCAACAAATTTTTATTTTTTGCCAGTTTTTGGAAACAAAAGGATCCATTTCTTAATGAATTTCACATTCTGAGTTCAAATATAACAATGAAATTTGTCAATTGGCTCTAGTTTTTCTGTAAACGGAAAGTTTTCTACTATAGGCGTAATGACTACATAATGCACAATAATTATATAGATAGATGTCTTTCCACAAATATAAAGCAAGTGATATTGACTACATAACAAAGCCTAAATGGCATAATATATTGCATAGGATTACCAAGAAAAATTATAGCCATAAGCTAAGTTGAATCATTTTAATACTTAGGATTCTCACTAGTTTTGTCTTCAGTTTGTGTCGGTTTTGCTTCTCTTGGCTTTTCTCTTGTATTCGAGGAAAGGGCTATCTCTTACAACTGCACGTGACTACACGCTTCAGGTTCTTCCTCACTTGACTCAACCACGAAGGATTCTGGTGCTTTAGGAATTGGTAGCCCCTCTCCATGAGGAACTGGACGTATTGCCGATGGAATATTTGGATAGTGCACAGATAACTTTTTCTTCTTATTTAGCCCTTTTACAATTGGAGGCACCATACAAAAGTAACAATTACTAACATGATCTGTTGGCTCTCTCCAAATCATTGGCACAGCGAAAGGCATAGATGCCTTTTTTCCATTCAACCATTGCTCCAGTGCCGTCCCACAAGAATTGCAGCATATACAGTATGTGGTGCCCAGCTCTTGTCCTGGTCTCCTATCTTGCAGCCAAAATACAAGTTGTAGGCTTTCTTAATCATTCCTGTTATCCTCCTTTTTTGTGAGATAAAAGTTATTTCACCGCAGATATAGCAGAAATTATCTGCTTTATTCACACAAGTTCGAGGCATTACTGAGTAGCCTATATAAGCAGAAAACCAAATGTAAAGACGCTGTCCAACTACAATCAGCTACAGATACTGCAGCTTTTATGCAGTGAAGTGATGCAATTAAAGGCTAATATTGCATCATCTCAGTATACATGCAATTTTCTATTGGTCACCAGTATCAATTGCGCAATATGCAGCTGAAGTTGCATCATAATTTTGAATGGCTTACGTCATTAGATGGGTGAATATATCATGGAAACTAGAGCCAATCAACATTTTTTAGGGTCATTTTCGTTTTCAGCACCCCAAAATTATGTAAGATTAGCTAATTTTATGCCCAAAACTTTTTACCTGTTGAACAGTGTAATCTGTCTGTACACAATAGTTTGTGTACACAGTGCGATGTTGTTTCTAGGTAATGTGCTGGATTTTATCTCCTGCTTTGCAGGGAAACAAAATCCAGCACATTGCCGCTGGCAGGACACAGCTCTGTCTTGCTTACATAGGCAGAGCTGTGTTCTGTCTCTCTCCTCACCAATCGGCGGATGTCGGCGCTCATCCATTTGCTGGCACCCGCTGATTGGCTTCTGCTGTGACTAAGCACCGGGATCTCACATGTACCCCCTTAATCAGGAAGTACAGAATCGCATACATAATACGTGATTTTGCACAGAGTTGCCGCCCTGGAGCAGTACATCTGCTATAGGGCGGTCCTTAACTGGTTAAAGCATAGCATACACTTGTTAGGCACGCATTTAACCTTTTGATTGCCCCTAGATGTTAACCCCTTCCAAGCCAGTGTCATTAGTACAGTGAAAGTATTAGCAATGATCACTGTATTGGTGTCAGACAGTTAGTGTACCTCCCAGCTAGTGCCATTTAGTTTGCCACACTATCACAGTCCCACTATAAGTCGCTGATCACCGCCATTGCGGCATAACTGTGTAAATGTATTTATTTCAGGTACTTATACTTATTTACGCAGCGGATTACATATATATTGTACATTCACATCAGTCCCTAACCCTCAAGGGGCGTACAATCTAAGGTCCCTAACTCACATTCATACATACACATACTAGAGCCAATTTAGACAGGAGCCAATTAACCTACTAGCATGTGTTTGGAGTGTGGGAGGAAACCGGAGTACCTGGAGGAAACCCACGCAGGTACAGGGAGAACATGCAAACTACAGGCAGGTGGTGCCATGGGTGGGATTCGAACCAACAACTCTAGTACTGCCAGGCGGAAGTGCTAACCATTTAGCCATTGTGCTGCCCAATTCCAGTATCTATACCAGGGGTGCTCAACCTGTGGCCCTTGGAGTCCTCTGATGTGGCCCTCCACCTCAAGCTGAATGCAGGAATTTTGGTGCACTTCAGAAATGCATCAAACCTGCAAGATATAGAAGTCTATGGCAAAGCACAGCTAACCTGCAGGACAACTGCAGGTGTACTGCGCTGTACCTGGGGTGCAGGCAAACCACAGCACATCAGTGTGAAAGCAGGGGGCTCAGGACATTAAGGACTTGTTTACATTTGCGGAATGGGGGTTGGTAAAACCCCACAGTTTTTTTTTTTTTTTTCTCTCAACCACACCCCACCCAACCACTGCTGTACCGTCAGAGGTTGCAATGGATACGCCGGCCCATGATCCAGGGGGCCCATGTGGCCTTCCTCTCACATTCTGTTTTACACTTGTAACAGTAGGGGTAGCATATACAGGAACCGACCGTCTCCGTGTTCCTCCTGCAGCTGCTGAAAGCTGGCTTCTCCTCCTTTCCCTTCCAAAGGCATTCAGCAGCTGTAGGAGGAAAATGTTCATTATGCTATTCAAAATAAAATACATTGAAATTCTGAACTTTTCATTTCATTGTGGCCCGCCATCGGTCTACAAAGCCTTAAGTGGCCCTCACTCTTAAAAAGGGGGAGCACTCCTGATCTATACCATAGTTTGCAGACGCTATAACTTTCACACAAACCAATCAATATACACTTATTGGGATTTTTTTTAACCAAAGACATGTAGCGGAATATATTTTAACCTAAATTTATGAAAAAAAATTAGATTTTTCCATTTTTTTCTAATTGGGTATGATTTATAACAGCAAGTAGAAAATATTGTTTTTTTTTTTCCTCAAAAAATTTTCCTTTAATAAAAACCAATGGTGATCAAATGCCACCAAAAGAAACCTCTATTTGTGTGAAAAAAATGATGATGATATAAATTTCATTTGGGTACAGTGTTGCTTCACCGCGTAATTGTCAGTTAAAGTAGCACAGTGCCGTATAGCAACAAAATGGCGGAGCTCACGAGGTTAAATGGTTCCTTGGGGCCAAGCTGTCCCAAACGAATGATTTCCTTTGCTAACACATTCAGCGGCTGTCAGTGCTGTATACACTGTGTGAAGTCAAAGGTGCATGCAGTATACAGTGCTTTGTTTTGATAGTAGTATGGAAACTTCCCGTCCCACTCCTGGAACAAAATCGAGTCGAGCTCAGCGCTGGTTAGCCATTCACAGGAAGCCTTGTAGTTTTTATCAGTGAATTCAAGGCTTCTGATTGGTTAAGGCTAAGAGGTGGGCGGATGACATCAGTGTATTGCATCACACAAAGGAGAACAGTCCCTCTCTTTGTGCACCTGCATTCCAGGAGGGAGTCTCTTCTTGTGATCCTCTACTGGGGGGGCTGCTGTGTATCATGGACATGTCTTAAGTCATGGTGGCTGAGCAGACTACGAAGGTGACAGGAATGCTGCGTGTTGGCACAGTGTCCTGTAACTTCAGGAAGACAGAAGAGTTACACACTGTCCATGTTAGTATAGATCAGCTTCCATGTTTGGCCCGCTCAGATTGCAAAAGGGAAGAACGGGCTACAATTACAAACATCTATGATAGAAGTGGTCAGCGTTCTTGATACAGGGGGCCTCCAGTGCAGCATCATCAAAATTCCGAGAATTATTATTACCAGAAATAGCAGACACACAACAGTATATAGTCAAACACTATGGGCATGTTATAATAGGTGGTCGGAAGACTGCACGGCACGAGACTCGGAGACTGCAGGCACGATACAAGAGACGGTCGGAGACTGCAGGCACGATACAAAGAGACGGTCGGAGACTGCAGGCATGATACAAGAGACGGTCGGAGACTGCAGGCACGATACAAGAGACGGTCGGAGACTGCAGGCACGATACAAGAGTCGGTCGGAGACTGTCGGAGGCACGATACAAGAGATGGTCGGAGACTGCAGGCACGATACAAGAGATGGGTCGGGAGGACTGCAGGCACGATACAAGAGATGGTCAGGCACGGAGACTGGTCGGAGACTGCAGGCACGATACAAGAGATGGTCGGAGACTGCAGGCACGATACAAGAGATGGTCGGAGACTGCAGGCACGATACGATACAGCACGATACAAGAGATGGTCGGAGACTGCAGGCACGATACAAGAGATGGTCGGAGACTGCAGGCACGATACAAGAGATGGTCGGAGACTGCAGGCACGATGCAAGAGATGGTCGGAGACTGCAGACATGATACAAGAGATGGTCGGAGACTGCAGACATGATACAAGAGACGGTCAGGAGACTGCAGGCATGATACAAGAGACGGTCGGAGACTGCAGGCATGATACAGGAAACGGTCGGAGTCTGCGTGCATGATGCAAGAGACGGCGCATGATGCAGAGACTGCAGGAATTATACAAGAGACGGTCGGAGACTGCAGACAGGATACAGGAAACGGTCAGAGACTGCGTCCATGATGCAAGAGACGGTCAGAGACTGCAGGAATTATACAAGAGACGGTCGGAGACTGCAGACAGGATACAAGAGACGGTCAGAGACTGCAGACAGGATACAAGAGACGGTCAGAGACTGCAGACAGGATACAGGAGATGGTCAGAGACTGCAGACAGGCTACAGGAGATGGTTCTCCATGGTCCCACTGTATATAGGAATGTAGCCACCCTCTCTTGCTGTGTCCAGAGATGGCCTGTGGGATTTGTAGTGTAGAAAGAACAGTGTACATGATTGCTTCTTCCAAACAAAGGGAAGTGAGGGGGGAAAAAAGAGGGGTTTGTGAGCTCACAGAGGACATTACAAGGAGGCAGAAACACAGTAAGAAATGATTTCATGAGGAGTAGATTCCAGGGCATTGCGTAGTGGATGTGAATGGATGGATGACCCTAGAGGTACCCGTCGGAGATCAGGGATAGTGTTTTAGTGCCATTTAATTATTGAAATAAGAGACTTCAAGCATTTCGTGATTTGTTTTGCGATGATTGCAGCGTGTGACAGTCGTGGCAGAGTCTCTGCACATTTTTAGGTGCCATTGGAATTAATGGCACTGGAACATGCTGATGTGGGATTTCACATTTTTTTAACAGCAGGATTTGAAATTGCACGCTAACAATCTAAGTAACATTCATACATACACATACTAGGGACAATTTAGACAGAAGCAGGGGCGGACTGACAACTCATGGGGCCCCGGGGCAATAGGGGATCATGGGGGCCCCTGTGTCCTCACCAACACCTGAAAAAGCCAATGAAAGGTACCAGGGGCATCTCATGGGGCCCCCTACTGACCCCGGGCCCTCGGGCAGTGCCCAAGTGCTCGAATGGTCAGTCCGCCCCTGGACAGAAGCCAATGAACCTATCAGTTTGTCTTTGGAGTGTGGGAGGAATGCTGAGTACCTAGAGGAAAGCACCCAAGCCCAGAGAGAACATGCAAACTCCATGCAGATAGTATCACGGATTCTGAACCCAGGACCCCAGTGCCGCAAGTCAGAAGCACTGATCACTCTGCTGTAATTGATGCCAGCTTCTCTATAATTATTCTTACAGGTTCTCTTTAAGAACACATAACTTCCAATGGATTTTCGAGAATTGGTCATTGCATATATGGATCTGAAATAATATTTTTGTCTTTTGTTTTCAGCTGCGAGCACAGAATCAGGTGCTGAAGAAAGCGGTTTTAGATGAGCAAGCTAATTCTGCAGCTTTGAAGGTATCTTTGAATTATTCATTGTGTCAGGACATTTATATGTTGTTTCATTTATCAAGCATATAACTAAGGAGGGTGTGTGTGTGTGTGTGTGGGGGGTTAGTTCTGAAAATTGAAGAAAAAATTGGAAAAAAGCAAGAAACACTGCTGTTCTATATCAGTCAGCGTGTTCTGCATATTTTAAGTCTGTTTGAAATTGGTTACAATAAAAGTATGTAACATTATATCTTTGTGGTGTAAAGGCTCATTCACAGTTAGTAGTGTTGCTGTCTGAAGAGCAATCCGTACTTGGATTGCTCTTCACACTAGCTTTGCTGTCTGAAGAGCGATCCGTACTCGGATTGCTCTTCAAAAAGCATTTGACTGGTGGTGAGCGGAGGTGTCCGCCCACACTGCGAGGGATAAATTTTTATCTGTCTGAAGTTGGGGTTTAACAATGTCTAAGGGCCAAGTCTTCCTCTTGTGCTTCCCAGTACCAATCACCAGCGCTGTAACATAGGACAAGGTGGAGTTGCATGCCTCCCCACAGCATATGTATCCCCAGCCCCCCCCCCGAGCACCTTATATGGCGGGCGGGCGGGAGGCGGTTAAAGGGTCAGACCAACCAAGACCAACACTTCAGTTACTTAATCATACATTACAGGACACTGAGGACCTCATATTCATGACTACTTGGGTTACGCTGCCACCTTCGGCTGAATAGGCACTGGCTGAAAAAAGGCCTTGCCCAGGCAAAACCCTTCCAGGTCAGCTAAGCCTCAGAATTTAGCTAGTGTCCTTAGGTGTTGGAGTCCTTAGGTGTTGGATAGGCCTATCTCTCTGAAGATCTCCCTTCTTGGGTGGAGTTCCCAAATTCCTAGTCTGTTCCTAACACCCCTACTGAGCTAGAGAAGAGCTTCATCCAAATCGGTTTTGCTACAGCCTGATGGCCAAGAATGACTTGCATGGACCCTACACACAAGAGCTGTGATGGCCTTTGATGTTGCCAGTCAGCATTGGTTCCTGTGGACAGCAAATTTGGGGGTTCCCTGTATCTGGTGACATCTTTGGCAGGGTGCTATACAAGTCCAGAGCAATGACTCCCTTAGAGGGGATGCGAGTCCCTGAAGGCCCTGTGGGGCACAGTCTCTGTGAAGAGTAAAGATTGGGTCTGGCCCTGTAATCAGGTGTTGGCGAATGCCTCTAATTCTATGGAGCCTTTGTCCGTATTCCCCAGCAGTGTTTCTTGTGAGGGGGTATAGAGGCAATTGTTTTGTGTGGAGTGACATATAGCCGTGGCGGAGCACAGAAGTGGCAGTCTGTCGTGGTGCGCATACACGATGAGGAGGGGGAAACCACAAATAATGGAGAGGATGGACATACAGTTATGTCTATATATATTTGGACACGGCACAATTTTAGTTTTGTTTTTCAGGTATTTACCAAAACATATTCAAGCTATAATTCTATAATGGATATGGGCTGAAAGTGCACACTCTCAGGTGTAATTTGAGGGTATGTACATCCAAATTGGAGGAAGGGTTTAGGAATTACAGCTCTTAAGAATAGCCATCCCCCTTTTTTAAGGGACCAAAAGTAATTGGACAATTGAATATAATCATAAATAAAATGTTCACTTTTAATATTTTGTTTGAGAATCCTTTACTGGCAATGACTGCCTGAAGTCTGGAACCCATAGATATTACCAAAGACTGGGTTTCCTCCTTTCTGATGCTTTGCCAGGCTCTAACTGCAGCTGTCTTCAGTTGTCCTTTGTTTGCGGGTCTTTCTGCCTTTTTAGTTTCGCCTTCAGCAAGTGAAATGCATGCTCAATTGGGTTGAGGTCAGGTGATTAACTCGGCCATTGCAGAATATTCCACTTCTTTTCCTACAAAAGCTCCTGGGTTGCTTTTGCAGTGTGTTTTGGATCATTGTCCATCTGTACTGTGAAGCACCATCAAATCAACTTTGCTGCATTTGGCTGAATCTGGGCTGACAGTATCTCTCTAAACACTGCAGAATTCATCCGGCTGCTTCTGTCACATGATCAATAAACACCCAATGACCCAGTGCCACTGGAAGCCATGCATGCCCATGCCATCACACTGCCTCCACCATGTTTTACAGATGATGTTGTGTGCTGTGGATCATGAGCTGTTCCAAGCCTCCTGCACACTTTTTCTTCCCGTCATTCTGGTACAGATTAATCTTAGTTTCATCCGTCCAAAGAATGCTTTTCCAGAACTGGTCTGGGTTTTTTAGATGTTTTTTGGCAGTCTAATCTGGCTTTTCTATTCTTCAGATTTATGAATGGTTTGCACCTTGTGGTGAACCCTCTGTATTTGCTCTTGTGAAGTCTTCTCTAGACTTTGACAGTGATACACCCACTTCCTGGAGAGTGTCCTTCAGTTGTCTGGATGTTGTGATTGGGGTTTTCTTTACCATAGAGAGGACCTGCAATCATCCACCACTGTTGTCTTCTGTGGACGTCCATGCATTTTTATTTTGCTGAGCTCACTAGCGCGTTCTTCTTTCCTCAGAATGTACCAAACTGTTGATTTGGCCCCTCCTAATGTTGCTGCCATCTCTCTGATGGATTTGTTTAGTTTTTGAAGCCTTACAATGGCCTGTTTCACTTGCATGGACAGCTCCTTTTGAACTCATGATGTAGCTTCACAGCAATAGATTTCAAATGCAAATACCACACTTAGAATCAACTCCAGACCTTTTATCTGCTTAATTGATGAAGAAATAACGAAGGAGTAGCCCACACCTGGCCATGAAACAGCTTTTGATTCAACTGTCCAATTACTTTTGGTCCCTTGAAAAAGGGGGATGGCTACTTGTAAGAGCTGAAATTCCTGAACCCTTCCTCCAATTTGGATGTACATACCCTCAAATTACACCTGAGAGTGTGTACTTTCAACCCATATCCATTATATAACTATAGCTTGAATATGTTTTAATGAATACCTGAAAAAATCTAAAATTGTGCCTGTGTCCAAATATATATGGACCTAACTGTGCCTCCAGGACAGGCGGACACCTACATATAAAATACCTGAACCACAGTCACCCACATCTGCCGGTACCTCTGAAGAAAAAGGAGAAAGGGGGAGTGCCAACTCCAAAGCTGTTACAAGAAGGAAAAAGGCACCAAAACCAGGCAATGGCTACACTACTTGGTGAGATACACTAAGCGAGGTCTTTGCTAACTCCAACAAGGCAATATCTAAGCTAGATGCAACTTGTTCTGGGATAGAGATGTGGTCTTGCCAGATTGCCCAGATGCCTGTGAAATGCTCTCGTGTGCCCCCGCACGTTGCCAGGCAGTTCTCAGCCTCCATTATCTTGTTCACTTTCCTAATCCAATCCTCCCTACTGGGAACATGAGCCTGTTTCCAGTTTGAGTATGAGTCTCTTAGCCGCATTCAGGAGGTGCGGTAAAGAGCATCGTTTATAGTGGCTTAACGGAAGGTTAGGGACGTGGAGCTGGAA